GTCCCTAGAGGACTTAAGCTATAGCAGGTAAGATAGGGTGCTTGGGTATCTAGAAACTTCCCAGGCTCCTCATTAATTCTCATTAGAGCCCTGATGTCTGTGATTACAGCAGAACCCCCAAGGCAGCTCAGCAACTAGGCACTGGGCACAGGCCCTACTTCAGGGCTATCTCCTCCAACCACCTTAACTTTTTTTTCCATTTTGTGTGGATTTAGGGGCCAGGACGCACATGCAGAGGTCAAGGCTGTCCTCACCATAGTGTGGTCATGGGCTCTGCTGCTCAACTACAGCAACTCCCAGGCCACAGTAACTGGTTCCCCAGGCTGCCCCCTGGATGACTGGTTCAGAGAACAAAATGCTTCTGGTGGGGCCACCTCAGAGAGTCCACCTACTAAAAGACAACACCCCGCGCTACGTAAATGCTTTATTTTAATGTCCAAAGTCTGGAACGAAGGGCTGGCTCCCTCCTGGCCTGTTTCACAGGTTCTCGATGGGCTGATGAGGCCAGTACGGGTACTTCTTCTTGTCCAGCTTGGTTTCCGGGAAGAGCTCATTCAAGTCATCAATGGTCATCTGATCAAAGGGGATGATGTTCTTCATCTTTTCCAGCTACAAAGAGCAGAAGCCAGTCAGCTAGAGCAAACAGGCAAGGCCACCAAGAGGAAAACAAGAATCCAAGGAAGGGCACTGCCACAGGGTGACACAGGGTGCCAGAGACGACCTGCGACAGAGGCCATGGTTCATCCTCACCTGTTTCTCATACTCCTGGATCCTGACCTGGGACTCGGACACGAACGCAGCACAGTTCTTCACCTGTAAGAGAAAGGAGCAACTGTCCTGAAGCCAAACGATATCCTGACCCGAGGTGCAAGCAGCTCTGGCCTGCTCCTTTCCCACTGCCGTCTAAACACACCGACCTAGAGTGCTTCTGAAGGGGGCAAACCACAGCTTCTCAACACCCACAAAGAGGCCAGGCAGGAAAACAGCTTAGGACTGGTCACCGGACAGTCGGGACAAGTCACATGACCCTAGGGCCAGGTCCGATGTTGACCTGAGGTATTTTCAGGCACACAGGTATTGGAATGCTGAATGGATTGTTTGTAAAACTGACGTCCTGTTTGTGACAGATGTGTTGGCTGAACACTGGCGCCGAGACACAAGTATTTACAGCTCTTCCAGCAGGCTGTGTATTCACCGACTCAAAACCAGTGACACACTTGTTAGCTCACCCCATCTCTCCCCAAGCACCTCTCCCTCTCAGGCCTTCTGTCACTAAAGATTAATTGCATTTTCTAGAGATTTATAAAGGCAGGGCTTCACTGTGTGGCTCTGGCTGGCCTCCAACTCTGAGATCTGCTTACCTCTGCCTTCCGAGGGCTAGGTGATTTTTTTTTGTTTTGTTTTTCTGTTTTCTTTGAGACATGGTTTCTCTGTGTAGCTTTGGAGCCTGTTCTGGAACTCCGCTGTAGACCAGGCTGGCCTCAAACTCAGAGATCTGCCTGCCTCTGCCTCCCAAGTGCCAGGATTAAAGGCGGGCATCACCGCCGCCCAGCTGCAACCATTCCTCTTGATTCCTACAACACTGTAATTGTCAATTTAACTCACCATCTACCCTGCCTACTAATGACAATAGTCACTAAGAAGCTTCAGGATCTGATCACAGCAGTGCACGTCTATAATCCCCGCACTTGGGAGGATGACGCAGGAGGATCACCATGACTTTGAGGTCAACCAAGGCTACCCTGTGAAACCTCACAAAAAACAAGAAAATTCTGAAGGCAAAACAAAACAAAACAAAAAGGAAGCCGGGTGATGGTGGTGCACGCCTTTAATCCCAGCACTCGGGAGGCAGAGTCAGGCAGATCCCTGTGAGTTCGAGGCCAGTCTGGTCTACAAGAGTTAGTTCCAGGACAGGCACCAAAAACTACAGAGAAATCCTGTCTCGAAAATCAAAAAAACCAAAAAGGAAGACAATATGCTTACATCCTCCTTTTCCTCGCTGTCCACCAGGGCTGTGTACTTATCCTCGGGTACCGGGATCTTCAAGGCATTATACTAGAAACAAGAACAAAGCAGTCACCCTCGCACCAAGAACCCACAGGACTGGAAGCCTCTCCTCCTTATAGACCATGTGAAAACACCCATCCCTTCCAATCTCTGGCATTGTGGTGGGAAGGGGGTTGGACAGTCTCCCCAGTACTGTCAATAGTCACCCAAAAAAACCTTCCATGTTTCCTATCACAAGTGCTGGTTCCTCCTCTGAAAACATCACTGGACTGGTAACGGCCACTTACCACCTTGCAGCCTTAGAAATTTTTTTTCACACAAAACCCAAGGGCTGGCTGGCAGGAATGTTTGCATTATGAAAGTAGACATGGTCATTAGCAGACTGTCTAGTGGTACAGCCCTGGCACTGTATGCTACACTACATAGGGCAGGCCTTCTAGAAGCATCTTCAAATGAATAAGCATATGAACTTCAGATTTTGACATTTAATGTGTAGGCATCAAAAGAACACAGATCACTGATGGGGCTGAGAAGATGCCCGGAGGTTAAGTGCGCTGGCTGCTCTTCCAGGGGACCCAGGTTCGATTCTCAGCACCCACACAGGAACTCACAAGAGTCTGTGATTCCAGCTCCAGAGGGCCTGGTGTCCTCATCAAGCTTCTGGTATCAGGCATGCGCCCAGAAATAGATGCGAGCAAAACCCCCATACACACGAAAGGAGAGAGCGACAGAAGGGCCAGGAAGAGAAAGAAGCTTATGAAAAGGAGGCAGGACTAAAGGGAACTTGAGAGAAGGGCTAGGCCCTGGCAGCCCTCTAGTTCCAGGAGCAAGGCTACCCTCGTGCTGAGTGACTGGACCCTGATACTCTCCAGGAGCTCACTAAACCCACTGCTGCCGGGCCTTTGGCCACACCCCCTTTTTCTCCACCCAAATGGGTCTCTTACAAGGTCAGAGCTTTAGTTATCTGATGGCTCACCTTCTTTTCAAAATCATCCACCAAGCCAGCCTTGGCCACATTGGCCTTGTAATAAGCCCAGTCAATTGCTGGTGGTTTCTCAGACAGATTCGCCAACCTGCTCATACAGAAAAGTAAAAGTCACGACACATCCACGAGCAACAGACACTACTCACACAACAATCTCCCTCGTCCTTATCCGGAGTTTCAGCACACTTTTCTCTGAAGGGCCACCCCAAAAGTGTCACCACAGAGCACGTCAATTTCTTTATTCGGTCAGACGATTAGAGATGCCTGGGTTACGCTGGCAAGATGGCTGGGTGGGTAACAGCATTCAGTTGCTAAACCTGAGGACGTGTGTTCAATACCTGGGACTCACACGGTGGAGAAGGCAGAGGGCCAACATCCACAAGTTTTCCTGTTGTGCACGTGTGCCCTATGGCACACCAAGAGGCAGGTGTGCACTCACATACGTGACAAATGCAGCAAATGTCAGAACACTGCTTCTCAGTGCAGTGACAGTGTGGGGAGGCGTTTCTCACAACACACTGACCTGGTGTGGAGGGTCTCGTTCCAGGACTTCAGGGAGTTTGCAATTGCCTTTTGGTTTCGGGGTATGATCTCCACAAAAGACACCCAGTCAATGGTTTTTAGAGCAAGTTTACGCCCGGCCATCTTGGGATCCTAGAGAATAAAACGGGTCCAATTGAACAGTGCCTTTGGAGAACCCAGAGCAGAGATTTTAGGGAAACACAAGCCTTTTTGCTCTCCATGTGTCTTTGCAAACATTGCTGAAGGACATCCATGCACAAAAGTTAAATAACAATTGTGACTTAGCCACTGATTCTCCACCATACAGACATCCGACAGAGTTTTACACAGACATCAGGGGCTCCCAACCCTGCCGTACACTCGACCTTCACGTTCGTGTCATACTGCCCACAGCACACCCGCCTTGCATTTTCAGAGGCATTTTTACACAACTGACAGCGAGAGAAGTGACTGCAGCTGTCTTTAAACTAAACAAGATAAAATGCAGGAAAGGAAATCACTGCAATCAGAGGCCTGCGTAGGGGAAACCGTGTGGACAAGCGGAGTGGATTCCAGGCGACGTGGGGGATACCTTAACGATCAAAGTTGTCAAACGCCAGTCCCCTCTCTCTATCCCTCCCTCCCTCCCTCCTACAACGTCATCCGTCTCTAGGAGGAGGGAGGCTAAGGCAGTTGTCAGACGAACTGAAGATGGCAGAGAACGCGTGTACCTTCCTAGGCACGAGGGGAACGCAGGAGCAGACTTTATTGTCCGGTTAATCTCTTGCGCCTGGAACAGGTCATGAGAATAAGGAATGACCAGTGGCTATTCGGCCAGCCGGCAAACGAACTTGAGAAACTTCAGTATTACCCACCCTGGCATCGTAGAACACGCCACAGGGAGGGGAGGACGCAGCTGCAGCCTACTAGGTGTCCTGTCCTTCAGAAAGCATTCGCTATGGCTATGGGATGGTTCCCCAACCCATAAACTGCCCTCCTGAGTTCGCCACAGTGTGAGACACGGCTTGGGAAGGGGGGAAATACATCTAAATCAATGGTGATTGGCCAAGTCATAGCCAGGCCCCTGCCTCGCCCGGCAGCGAAGGTGAGCGGGGCAAAGCAGTGACCTCGGGCGCTCGGCCCGCGGGCGGGGCAGCTCGAAAGCCCGACGTCCTCCGCGGAGGTGGAACGAGCGTCAGAGCGAGGACTGGGAGCAGCTAAGGCAGAAGAGCCCGTGGAGATCTGACCCAATACCGCGAGCCCCACTCACCTTCACCGACCCCGGCGGAGCGCTTTCTCCAGCAGCAAGGGACGGAAGTGGATCGCCGGAAGTTCGCTTCGGCGAATCCGAAAGCGCCATAGACGGACCTTGTCTTACACGTCAGCCAATGAGCACGCAGTCAAGTTGAGAAAGTCCCGCCCTCAAAGGCGGGCGCAGCGCCTGCGTATCGGGGTCCCTGCTGGTTGGGGGCGCTCCCGTCCCTCTCCCCCTGCCCCACCCCCGCCGATGGGCCGGCCCGGCTCTCCCTGCCGAGGAATGGGCCGGCCCGGTGGCGGGCGGGCAGCGGCGGCCCAAG